GAGAAGTGTGGCCAAAATACCTACTTGTCATAGCATTTCAAATAGCAAATCAGTTTCAATTGTTAATTTGCACTAAAACAAAGTGAACAATGAAACAATCTCATTAAAATCAGATCCTTTACTCAGATATGATGAAGATCTGGGGATGGAGGTTGTGAACAATCTAATCAAATAAACATAATCGGGGAGTTCTGATTGCAAAAAAATAAAGCCATGCTATTATATTGAGGCTATTTAATACATCTTATCGTTTCAGTGTCCACGGCATCGACCCTAAAAAGGGTGAACTATGTTGTATTCTGTTGGGAGGTTATTGAGATGGTGGAGATGAAGCCAAGTCATTTTAGACTGCTGGCATCTGATTGGCAGAAGGACCTAATGGTCTACATGAGGTCGTCACACAGAGAGGTATCATGTTGGAAGAGATCCGATTCTAATGAGTTTGACAATGACATGACAAATACTCTATTTATAAACAAGACATAAACATTTCTGTGTAACATTAAGTACATCGCCTTCACACTGACGAAGCACGACATCATGAGACTAGAGAAACTATTCAGAGCCAGAACAAGCACATCACAATGCCTGCCTTACATCATTCCTGTTCCATGCTACTCACTGGCAGTGACTTCAGGAAATATTTTAGCCAAGTATTGGGGAGCAATACAAGGCCTTATGCCACACCATGTTACTGTCCATTTGCAGCAAAACTCTGTCTGTCTGAATGATATCATTCCCAGTGACATCATCCAGATTAACGAAGGACAGATAATGATGGAGACATCTTTAAGAAATGAGCACACTTTTTGAAACTTATCAGCTATGTTCTAATCAACATCATAATACAAAATGTATTTGCAAGGCTAAGATGTGTCGAAAAAGGCTGATTATAAAAAGCATTTACCGTATTTCAGCTTATAAGCACCCAGGACGCTCTCAAAATTAGAAATAGGAGGCTCTTATTAGAATATTATTTTGGTGAAAAGAAAAACAGACATGAAAGATTGTAAATTTCCTGGTTTATGCTCACAGCCTGAGGTGAGGTGAAATGGGATTTAACGTCGCGTCCAAGATTATTGCACTTATATAGCGACGTGCTCACAGCCTGAAATGTTTATACGACAGATATGTTTTTCCGGAATTTAATTGTCCATAATTAAGGGTGCATATAACACACGTGTGCGTATTATACACGAATCAATAAGTCTTGTGTATACTGATCAATCGGGAGGTTTGCTAATTTGAATTGTTCACTAGCCAATATATTAGCAAATACCGCCGTGGGTGCTTATTAGACCGGGGAGCTTATTACGTTGTATACAGTAGTTAATAACTGAACATGAGCCAGTCTTTGAGCCAAGCTGATTGCCTCAGATAAAGACAGTACAAACATATTGTAAAATCATCCTGGGTAGGACTTGCTCATTGTTAAATTTTCTCTTCAAGTTTGGGAAAATCGAATTTTCTCATTTTAGCTATTCATATTCATGCACTTAAAATGCTAGAATCAAAACATTCAAGTGTAAGCGAGAAAAACAAGCCATTTTTCAAATCACAGATTATTTTCATTCCATTATTACAAAGTTTTCCAGAATTTCAAAATTTGACCTTTCCAGTGGGCCAAAAGGCCCCATATCGTACCTTGTCCTTTCTGGATTAACAAGTCATTGTTACAGAGTCTCTTGTACTTATGAATATGCTTGTACCAGTAACCATCCAGGTGCCAATTTTCCAGATTAATGGGATCTAGATTAACAGTGTTTTACTGTGTACTTCTTTAGTCATTCATTTCTTAAAGACTAGCCCAGAGGAAACGTTATTTCATTGGACCTCAAAGTTTGTAGCTGTTCCTGCAACACGATTACATTTTCTATCAGTTGTTTTCAGTTCCAATTGTGGCTAATTGAAGCTGTGAGTGAGTGAATATGGTTTTACCCGAAGACAGGTCATCAATTATCCGCCCAAACAGATTTCAAGGGTCTTATAGTGAGTGAGTACGGTTTTACGCCGCTTTTAGCAATATTCCAGCAATATCACGGCAGGGGGACACCAGAAATGGGCTTCACACATTGTGCCCATGTCGGGAATCGAACCTGGGTCTTCAGGGTGACGAGCTAATGCTTTAACCACTCGGCTACCTGACCGCCCCAATTGAAGCCATGAGAACTGGTTCTCAAATATAGCCTTTACATGTTACTCATCATCGGGGACTACCATCTTTGGATTTGGTCTTGTCCACAACACAATTTAGTAGTCACGGGCTAGCAGACCAGCATGAATGTTGAAGGGTGTGAATATGAACAAACTAAACATACATTCTATTCTAGCAATTCTAATATCTCTCTCTGGCTTAAGGAGGCTATTCTAATCAAATTGAAATCTAATATCAAGAAGGGATTGAAAGGAAGGCTAAAAAAGAAATTGCACCATGTCTAGCATTTCGTTTTAACATAAGGAAAGGTCGCATGAAATATATAACATTCCATAAGAATAAGTAAAATATATTCTTGTTGTATATGCATCTTATTTATATAGAATGTACAAACAAACATATGTATAGTTACATTAATATTTTACAGCACAATAATATTTTGATTTTTAGGATGAGTAAACAGGTTATCAGTATGAAAATATTATGAATTTTTTTCATTTGTATTTTTTTCACTGAAAGAATATTTTTCTCATTTCAAAGTTTAACTAGTATATGAAAGCATGTACCTCTAGCAAAAATGGTTGTGATGAGACACGGGAGTTATCTCCCTTCTCGAACACAAAAGTGAACCCTCCCTTGTTTAAAGTCAGTTGGGATTGTCAGCAATATTCCAGCAATATCATGTCAGCGGGACACTACAAATGGGCTTCAAGCAGACCTTGGCGTGACCGGAAAACGCGATAACCATGTTTTTCCACTGCCCAGTACTGAAAGGCGTCAACAAAGCCAAACTGTTACATTTGATTACAACATGCCACAAATGTGATAAAATTGTGTTCATATCCCTCAAGGAAAAGCTATCAGTAGATATATTGTCGGATCCTAGGTTTTCGGACATCATTCATTTTGGGGGGGCCATGTTTATCGCAATTACTCCCACCATAATGGGGGTGTAGCATTACACAGACATTGTAAATGCTCAGACGTCTTGTTTTTAAGAGAAAATTGTCTTTAATAAGTGAATGAGATGCTTTACAGTTGTGCATGGGATGAGAGAGAAAACTATGAATGTTCCTAAAGCATCCGAAAACCCGTAACACAGGGATACAACAGGACATCCTTATTTTGCTGGAGTGAGGGAGTATGGTTTTACGCCACTTTTAGCAATATTCCAGCTATATCATGGTGGGGGACACCAGAAATGGACTTCACACATTGTACCCATGTCGGGAATCGAACCCGGGTCACTGAGCAGGAACTCTGTCTGCTTTCTTCAGAGACTATTGACTGACATTCCCAGAAAGTTTACATAGGGATTGATTATGTAGGTGTGATTGTTTATGTGGACAAACTTGGCTGTGAATCATTTGGCACTAAAAGCTAATAGGCCTACCTGTATTCATACGTGGTTTCTTCATTGAGATATTACAACTTAAACATCAATAATTGTAAGAATGACATTATATGAAAAAGAACTTATTACCCTTTGGGTTATACATAAACAGCTGACTATGTTGGCCTGCTGACAAGCCTCAGTCATCCAGTTTTGGAAACCAAAAATCAGTTTTGGCCATTTTATTCCCCATATCAATATATTCAGATTCAATTTGCTAGGAGACTGATAACATTGCGAAATGTTCTAACCATTCATCATTCAGAAAGCAGGGTTTCCAGATAAACAAGTTTCCAACAAATAAGGTTTTACTGATGTTAGAATCATGCTTTGGAGCACTAAACCTCAGTGTCGTATACATGTATGTACAAAATGAAGATATCTGGCTGTTTCTGTACAACCAACAATAGGGGCACACAGACAAAGTACACAGTGCTGTCTTAGTTGAGCATGATTCATTATATATACACACAGATAACTTCAGACAAGCGTTGTTGAACATATTCTTCACTGACTGATGTTAATCTGATGATTAGGAGAAGGCCTCTATGTGTGTCACTTGTGCCTAATCCATTTGGTTTTCCGCAATAAAATATGTTTAAATCAAGTCTGATGATGTCCAACATTTCAACAGCTGTTTAGCATAGCAAAATGTGAGTATGGTGATATGCTTCCAGCAATATTCCAGCAATATTAGTAGGGGTGTAGGGAGGCAGTGTACAACATAGCTGCTTGCCCACTAGCCAAGGCTAGCAACATTTTGGTTGGGCTAAACATTCTGAACTGTCACATATTTAGGCAAGTGAAAATTAAAACTGACCAGTAACTATTAAGGTTAGCTGGCCCACCTGGGCCCACTTGCACAAAACAATCTTAGCGCTAAGACTAAGATTAAGCCTATGTTAAAGTATGGGAGTTACGATCATCTTAGCACTAAGATCGCTTTGTGCAAGGGGGCCCGGGCCAGCAATATTTTGAGACAAGCTTCATATATTGTGGCGAGGGGGGCACCAACATTTGGCGCCACATGGTTTTGCCATATCAGGAACTGACCTTGGTTTTGGCAGAAACAGTCAATGATTTAACAAGGCAAACCAAGTCATGAGGAGTGCGACTGAATTCTAACCTTCCTCATAGCTATGTGAATATTAAGTTCTCAATTTGACAAAAGTGGAAAGTGCTTTTTGTCAATATTTCATTCAGACCAGTTTTTGATTTAAATGTAAAATGTAAAATGAAAAAATAGTGTGGCCCTGTACAGTGATTACTAGTTGGCTTGACATCAGTATCTAACCCTCGTCTCTGGCATATATCTAACCCTCGTCTCTGGCATAGTGCATGATAGTCAACTAACCTCGACTTTTGGCTTATAACATCGAATGTGAGTACAGGATGGTGTAGAATTCACATGAAAATGTTTGTGAAATCTTAGACATGAGGTGACCTAAAAAATACTCATCTAATCAGTTTTATTGATCAATTTCAGAAGTTTAAAGGAACAAAAATAGCAATGTTTTTGAACAGATTGTTCAGGAAAAATAATGTCTGTTACACTTGAAATTTTCATTTCCATACAGATTGAAATGATTATCATTCTTTGGTCTATGCTTCAAAGGATCATAAGCTTGTGCTAGATTAACATCTGAGGCAAAGAATGGTGTTTCTGCTTGCCAAAATGAGCTGAAGTATTCTGAGATGAGCTGCAAAGTGTTGGCATCCTCCTGCAGCTCAGAAATATCAAGCACTGTGAATTCACAGGGTAATTCTATTCAGACTTTCATTGAAAAAACGGTTAAAAAACAAAAAAATCAGATGGCAAAGGACCTCACAGGAAAATGATTATTTCAGAATATTTGCTAGACAACAAATCTGTCTTAAACAGTTTCACAATTAAATATTGCAAATATTGTGACAATTTCTGTTCTTTTATTCCGTAAAATAAAATAAAATAAAAATAAAGGAACTGATATTTCATAATTCCACATTCCAGTTGGATCACCTCAACGTTGATACTGCTGGAACTGCACAAAAATCTGCTAACATTTGTCATGTGGAAAAGCGTATTCAAAGACCCAAACAAATCTGCATATAAAGGAAAATTGTCATCACTGGTACTAATGTGACAAGAATAGCAGGTGATAAACTCAGGGATTTATATCGAATTCCAAACCATGTGTCCCTGACAGACAAATTGGTACAAAAATACATTACTTTTTAAAAAATTGAAACAATTTCTATTTTGGATAATTCAGAGGTATCTTCATCATGTAAACTATGCATCAATGCCTCTACTTACATAGCGGCTTGATTAAATAGTCACAAGTCAGCTCTGTAAAACCATAATGGTAGTTGTATCTATTAGCATGATAAATAACACAAACTTGGAATTTTGTTTTTCCAGTTTGGGAAATGGTTGCAAACTTGGGGCTTGAATAGGCCAGTGGCATATTTTTGTCAAGGGCAGAGAATCGTGGCTTCATGACGTCAAAACTGTGTCCAATATGAAATACCTCTTTCTACCCCGAGGCATGTCAAACAAAATACATCCATGACTCTCATGATTAAATCTTGAGTTTGTGGCATAACAATACCCCTAAAATGAATACGTTTTTTCATGCTCTTGTAATAAAGATTAAAATCCCGAGTCTGGGTACCAAACGCCCCATTTGTCTAACACTCACCATGGCTGAAAACGAATTCTATGTGTAGCCTTAACCATCAGTTTTGTATAAGGCACGATCATGTTTTGCCCACAGAAATAACAGTAACAAAATTAGGATTCACCACGAAGTAAATTGAGGTATTTATAGGATATCTAACAGAATTATTATTTCAGAAGCACTTCTGGTTTTTGTGATTTCATTCAATCTCTTGACAAGAGGAATGGTGACTAGATGATACGTTTTCTTCTCCAATATATGAAAAGAACATATACATAGGCAATAAATACAGCTAACATATCACTTCTTAAATGTTGGTTATATCATGGAAGCACTATCAGATTCTGTGATATCATGCTGAATATTATCCATGAGATAAGGGACCTTATGGCAGAAAAGACACACGTGGACTTCTTATTATATTTTAAAACTACAGAATCTTAGGACCACAAAAATATAATTCACACGCTTTAATTCACATTTATCACAGACATACATGGCATCAAACATTCTGACTCATTTTCTGCAATGTCCGTTCAGACTTAACTATTCATGTTATAAATGCAATTTGTAGATATAGTCTGATTAATTAAAAGTAGACATTTTTGCTGAAATGTTTTGATAAATGTTTTTCTTACATTACGAACTAACGAGAGTCTGCACTTATGGCGATCTTTATGGAATTAAGTTGATGTCAAAACATCTTTCGTAATGACATCACAGCTCAATTATGTCCAAGGACCCATAAGGTCCCTTTTCTCCAGGTAGGTCACAATTATCTTAACCCGAATAAACCCTCCTCGACCAAAGTCAACAAAACCCCAGTTAAGGAGGAGAATTTATGGATGTCAACTTCTTTATTATGAGGAACACAACATTTCGGAGTACATGCTTACTCCTTGGTCAGGTGAATGGATGGTGTGATTATAAGTCCTGGCTTCCAGTTGCCCTTCATTATCAACTATCAGCTCTAATTACTGTAAAATGTTAGCTTCCATTGTCTATTGCTAATCACCAATCAAAACCAATCACCTGTTAGCTTCCATTGTCTATTGCTAATCACCAATCAGCACCAATCATCTGTTGGTTTCCATTGTCTATTGCTAATCACCAATCAAAACCAATCACCTGTTAGCTTCCATTGTCTATTGCTAATCACCAATCAAAACCAATCATCTGTTGGTTTCCATTGTCTATTGCTAATCACCAATCAAAACCAATCATCTGTTGGTTTCCATTGTCTATTGCTAATCACCAATCAGCACCAATCATCTGTTGGCTTTCCTTGTTAAGTTTCCACTTTTGTTGTCTTATTACTTTTACTGCTTTTACATGTACATATATATGCTCTCTGCCTCAGAGTATTCATTCACCTGACGAAGGAGTAAGAAAATACTCCCATACATGTTCCTCATAATAAAGAAGATGACATCCATAATTTCTCTTCCTTATGTGTATCACTTCTAAATGCCTTTCAAAGACTGAAAACCACAGTTGTATATGCTGCTATCATAAGGTTCCGGTTACAAGTAAGAACAATAAGAGAAAAAACACAACCATAAATCTATACAAGGAACATATGGGCAGTTCTTTAGTATTGCTGTCACTTGACATAAATTGAAAAATATTCTGATTCCTACTTTCCTACTAACACAAACAGTGCACATGTACATCAAGGTCTCTGTGTTGATGACTTCAAGACTCTTATGGTAGTCATAGATATTTCAATGTAATTCATTATCGAAAACTTATTAACCCCCAAACTTTACTTGAGATTAACTGATAATCAAGGCAATAATAAATTAATACTAAAATGTTCGTCTCCATCACCTCATTACCATAAACAGCCATCCTGACCTCCTCTCATCGTCCCGAAGTACCCAGTACCTACTGATGATGCTGATGGAGAAAATCACTACATGTGTTCCCTTCATAACATAATAAAATAAATCTCATACATAGTTCTACCAAACATTCATTCTTCATGTGAAATAATCCATCAACAGTTAATGTACACAGATACCTTTGAAGGTTTGTTTAACAGGAAAGAAAAGATAAAACGACTCCCGCCTAGCGTTTTAAAGATTTGGATGAAAATCTGATAATAAACTTACTGTGGCCTAAGTTTTTATGTCAATACCCAACATGTAACTGTTTCCATGGTAACCTTGGAAGATGAAATTAATGCATGATCAGGGCAAATTCCAAAGAGGGTAAATTTTCAAAACAAAAAATAAATTTTCTGATTTATTACAAATATTTTCATTTATTGGAGATGACTTTCAAAATGAATAATGGCAACTTAACATATATGAGTGAAACATTACAGACTTGATGAAATATATTAAAACCTAATGACATCTCTTCCTAATAGAACTTCTTCGCTTGTGCTTCTTTATTTTGTCTGAAAAATAAAATATAATATTTTAGACCATGTTAAATGCAGACAATGTATAAACTCAAGCAGAGATATCTGGACACAAATTCTTGCGCTATTCATAGCGATTTTATCTTTTCTTGAATTTACAATGCCTAAAATGAATACCTTTACTAAAATATGTTTTTATCATTCTTGTTATAAATCCAACACAGCACTTAAGCAGTGAAAGATTGAATGTTGTTACATCTATATCACAGTCTGCAATATTCCAGCCAAATTACGGTGGCCTGTCAGTGGTCAAGTTTGGACCAAACAAACCATTGCCAGCATAAAACAGCAATCCCCACCATCTGGTACCCAGCATACAACCGGATCCCAGGTTCAGTGGGTTCTTGCAACAAGCATTGGGTACTGGCAGTGTAAGAAACTAGCATTAGTGAAAAAGGCCCAAACAAAATAAATATTTTCAAAGGACTAGTAAACAAAAATACACATTTTATAGCTTTTCCTTTAATTATCATTACTGAATTTTAACTAAAATGATTGAGTTTCTGTTCTGTCCCAGGGCAAACACATAAAAGTTTCTTTGTTGTTTAACGCCGCACTCAGCAATAATTCCAGTATATGAAACATCTGTAAATAATCGAGTCTGGACCAGACAATCCAGTGATTGACATCATGAGCATTGATCTACCCAATTGGGATACAATGACATGCATCAAACCAAGTCAGCGAGTCTGACCACCCGATTCTGTTAGTCTCCTCTTACGACAAGCATGGGATGCTGAAGACTAATTCTAACCGGGAATCTTCACGGGATGGAGAAAACAGGAAGTTAGAAAGGGTTGTAAATATTCTTAAGCACAAATAACTTACTTATAAACCATATATCCAATCATTAGTATAACTTGTGCAGCTAGAGCGATGAAGAACACCAGTGGTGTCAGACAGCCAGATTGTGTCGGACAGTTAGCCGCTGCGGCTGCAGCCTGCAATACAAAACACGGATTAAAACACAGATGTACATTTTCTTAATCATCAATGGAAAAAAAGTCATTCCCCATAAAGAAACCACAACTGACAACAAAACATGTTCGACTTCCTGCAAAGTAATCCGTCAAAGTTAGCATTTTGAACAACTGACACTGCTCTAAACAGTATTTAAAGTATTTCATGGAGTTTAATTTTGATGCAGAACAGAAGCTCCAAATGAAGCCAGGGATAAGGGACTCAACTCTGCATTGATAATGGCAGCACTGTACATCACTGGGGAGGAATGTCACGATTCAAATGTACAAATGCATTGCAAGTGTACACCTGACGATAGCTATAACTACCCTTTTACCAATCCATGCTATGCATAAATTTTCAAAAACCTTTATTAAAACAGTTTTGAAATAATCTTGATTAATAACTTTCAAGTATGTTTGTTGTTTAACCCAGCAATGTCATGGCGATCTGTAAATAATTGAGTCTGGATCAGACAATCTTGTGATTGTGCACAGCGTCTCACACCATAAGCATGACAAGGGTACAATGACACACAATCAACCAGGTCACCCGATCCATCTCATTGCCTCTAATGACCAGCAACGGCTGGGAACTAATCGAAATGAGAGTATGGGCTACGGTAACTGCAGTTCGATGTATCCCAATTTCTCCTTGGCCTTCTAACTTAGTAAAAGAACCATGCATTACGTCACCAAGACATCTCGTGGGCACCTACCTGCGGCCTTGTGAGCAGCATGGCAATATCATTCCTAGCATTGTTGAGGTTATCCTTCAACTCATGGAGGGTGAGCTGGACTACCCCACCCCCTCCCCCGCCCTGCTGCTGTCCCCCAGAACCCTGGATGATGTTGGCTTTCTGCTGTACATCATTTATCACCGTTCTGAAACAAAGATCGTAATACTGTCAACAATCCGTAAAAATAGATGACTAAATTAGAGAATTTCTTTGTTATGCTGGAGTTATTAAAATTCCAGCTGGCAGTGTTAGAAATTTAGAGGGTCCTGGGTTGTTTTGGGCATTTCATCTTGGGTCTAATAAACTTTAAACATTAGGGCTATGACAAGGACCAACTGAGTTTGATGCTTAATTTCGAACACTGAGTCTTTGAAAAAGATAAATCTTGTCATGGCAGATAAATGATTAATATCATGGGCAACTATTCTGAAATTGTATTTGCAGTGATGACTGTCTTGACACTGAATACTCTCCCCCCAGGTAAATTATTTTAGTTGTCAATTTGAATTTCTATTTCATTTCAACTTTCATGTAATTGGTAAAGTAAGAATGTAAGTTTGGGGAGTTTCTGTTCCACCAAAAACATATACCGTATTCGACGTAATACGCGCCCAGGGCGCTCTCAAAATTGAGTTGAAAGATAAATTTCGTGGTTTATGCTGACAGCCTGAAATGTTCATGTACGACAGATATATTTTTCCAGAATTTAATTGCCCATAATTAAGGGTGGATATAACAAACGATTGCGTATTATACGCGAATATATGTCTTGTGTACATTGATCAATCGGAAGGAGTGCTAATTGGGATTGTTCACTAGCTAATATGTTAGCAATTATCGCCATGGGCACTTATAAGAGCGGGGCGCTTATTACGTCGAATACGGTATGTACATTTGTGGTTAGAGGGGAAATGGCTCTCTGGCGGCAGCGATGATAAGGGACTTGCTATATGTTATCATTATAAGGACTACTGGACTATGAATGTTAGTTTCTACAGCTGCTTGGTCAGGTATAATATGTGGTACTCACCTCATGTCCCGTATTTGGTTTATGAGATCATTTTGATTATTAAAAACTTTGTCAACTTCATGTCTTTTGATTGTGTCAATATTGATCTGACCCTGGAAAAGACAAAAAATGAATAAACCAGTTTGTTGTAACCATTAGCATAAATCATTGACATATAAAACTATGGAAAATCACGGAATGTCTTCATTGTGGGTCCAAGTATTTTTGTTTGTTTGTTGTTTAATGCTGGGCTTAGCAATATTCCAGCTATATGACAGCGGTCTGTAAATAATCGAGTCTGGACCAGACAATCCAGTGATTGACATCATGAGTATCGATTGGGATACGATAATATACATCAACCAAGTCAGCGAGTCTGACCACCTGATCCTGTTTGTCGCCTCTTACGACAAGCATAGTTGCCTTTTAGGGCAAGCACGGGTTGCTGAAGACCTATTCTACTCCGGATCTTCACGAGTCCGGGTAGCGTGATGACAAACCTAGAAACAAAATCAGGGCGATCATAGGTTTCTGGCACGCCTAAGGTACACAACTCTACACAGTCTACAGTGACTGGACTTGAATTGAAGATATGAATTAAATATCAGTATCAATTCCTCCCTATCCCTCACAACTACCCAGACTGTGTGGTCACCTACCATCAGCTGCTGTCACATGCTCCCCATCCCTCACCACTACCTGGACTGTGTGGTCACCTACCATCAGCTGCTGTCACATCCTCCCCATCCCCCACCACTATCCAGACTGTGTGGTCACCTACCATCTGCTGCTGTCACATCCTCCCCATCCCCCACCACTACCCAGACTGTGTGGTCACCTACCATCTGCTGCTGTCATATGCTACCCATCCCCCACCACTACCCGGACTGTGTGGTCACCTACCATCTGCTGCTGTCACATCCTCCCCATCCCTCACCACTACCCGGACTGTGTGGTCACCTACCATCTGCTGCTGTCACATGCTACCAATCCCTCACCACTACCCAGACTGTGTGGTCACCTACCATCTGCTGCTGTCATATGCTACCCATCCCCCACCACTACCCGGACTGTGTGGTCACCTACCATCTGCTGCTGTCACATCCTCCCCATCCCCCACCACTACCCGGACTGTGTGGTCACCTACCATCTGCTGCTGTCACATCCTCCCCATCCCTCACCACTACCCGGACTGTGTGGTCACCTACCATCTGCTGATGTCACATGCTACCCATCCCTCACCACTACCCGGACTGTGTGGTCACCTACCATCTGCTGCTGTCATATGCTACCCATCCCCCACCACTACCCGGACTGTGTGGTCACCTACCATCTGCTGCTGTCACATCCTCCCCATCCCCCACCACTACCCGGACTGTGTGGTCACCTACCATCTGCTGCTGTCACATCCTCCCCATCCCTCACCACTACCCGGACTGTGTGGTCACCTACCATCTGCTGATGTCACATGCTACCCATCCCTCACCACTACCCGGACTGTGTGGTCACCTACCATCTGCTGCTGTCATATGCTACCCATCCCCCACCACTACCCGGACTGTGTGGTCACCTACCATCTGCTGCTGTCACATCCTCCCCATCCCCCACCACTACCCGGACTGTGTGGTCACCTACCATCTGCTGCTGTCACATCCTCCCCATCCCTCACCACTACCCGGACTGTGTGGTCACCTACCATCTGCTGATGTCACATGCTACCCATCCCTCACCACTACCCGGACTGTGTGGTCACCTACCATCTGCTGCTGTCATATGCTACCCATCCCCCACCACTACCCGGACTGTGTGGTCACCTACCATCTGCTGCTGTCACATCCTCCCCATCCCCCACCACTACCCAGACTGTGTGGTCACCTACCATCTGCTGCTGTCACATCCTCCCCATCCCCCACCACTACCCAGACTGTGTGGTCACCTACCATCTGCTGCTGTCACATCCTCCCCATCCCTCACCACTACCCGGACTGTGTGGTCACCTACCATCTGCTGATGTCACATGCTACCCATCCCTCACCACTACCCGGACTGTGTGGTCACCTACCATCTGCTGCTGTCATATGCTACCCATCCCCCACCACTACCCGGACTGTGTGGTCACCTACCATCTGCTGCTGTCACATCCTCCCCATCCCCCACCACTACCCGGACTGTGTGGTCACCTACCATCTGCTGCTGTCACATCCTCCCCATCCCTCACCACTACCCGGACTGTGTGGTCACCTACCATCTGCTGATGTCACATGCTACCCATCCCTCACCACTACCCGGACTGTGTGGTCACCTACCATCTGCTCACATCCTCCCCATCCCTCACCACTACCCAGACTGTGTGGTCACCTACCATCTGCTGCTGTCCAGTCTGGGGGACTTGACCTTGGGGCACCTGTCCACCAGTCTGAGTGCCCATACTGATTTTAGACAACACCAGTTCCTGTCTGCCCAGAAGCTCGTCCATCTTTCGATTTAAGTCTTTCAGAGTCAGATGAATGTTTGACTGTCCGTCGAATATCTGCTTCATCTCTCTCTCGTTCTGGCTTTCAAACTGAAAAGAAAACGGAAATTGATGAAAACTAAACTGAGACCAACAAGTTAGAATCTCTAATGCTCAGGTTTACATTATATCAAATATCAGCCTCTGAGCAGGTCTAGAGAAACCCCTGCACAAAAGTTGCAAAGTCAAATATTTTCATCTATTAGCTTTGTTTGTTGTTTAACGTTTTCCAGCTACATGACAGCAGTCACCAGACGATCCAGTGATTGATGTCATGGGCATCGGGATATGATGACATGCATCAACCACGTGATTGAGCTTGACCACCCGATTCCATTAGTTGCCTTTTACGACAACCATAGACACCTCCTACAGCAAACATGTGTTGCTGAAGACCTAATCTAACAGGGCTCAGGGCTCATCTATTAGCAAGGATGTTGCTCTCGAACTGCATCACCTACCCATTTATCCTCATCCACCTGGTAGGGGTCCATTCTGGCCTTGTCTGGGTGCTGCTTCTGAAAACTACAGGAAACAAGGCATATTTATTATATAAAAAAACAGGTTAGGGGAGATAATTCAGACATTCTCAGATAGCAGTTCTCTGCCCCTAGGCCACAACTTTATTACTGTTTGAAGGCTGAATTATCCAAAGAAAACACACTTTGAAAAACACATAATGCGAAATTTCTGCATGATGTTCAGAATTCTAGAACCTATGTTTAACAATGTAATTTCAAGAAACAGGTCTCTAGAAATTCAGGAAATTCAAATGTTCCCAAATGAGAGTTGTCTGCCCTTTATCACAAAATTAATTCAGAGTCTGTTACTGTTTGAAGATAAGTTCAAGATAATGCACTGAATTTTCAAGGTGCTACTTCCTTTATTTCCAGAAAACACAGCTTCTATTATATGTGATTTGAATGCATCCTCTATATCTACAGGGTTCACATTTCAGTAAAGCTACACCAACTCCTGGATCCATTCCTGTGGTTTTCGCGATCTCAAATTATCTGCCCTTGAATTCCATGTGCCAATTTGATTTGCTACACTACTCAGTCTAACGGACCAATCAAAATGCAAGTTACAAATCAGCCTCAATGTTGCGTTGGAAATATCAAAGGTGCCTAGTCCGATTGATTTAAAAAAATTCAACATTGAACAACGGACTAAAAGAAAGACCAAATATTTTAGATGGAATATCTTCATGTCGACCGCCCTTACCAATTTCCTTTTTCCTTATCTCGATGTTTGATTGGTCAGTAAAATGTTAGTGAAAATCAAGGGCGGGTAATTAGAGATAGAGGACGAAATGAATGTTGTTTCCATGGTTTGCGTTGTAACATAGGATATCTACTTACTCTTGTTTTGCCTTTTCAAGTTCATTATAATAGTCTTCGAATTCCTTTTCAAACTTTTTCCTCTCTTCTTCAGAAACCTGGCCCTGCAACCAAGAAAAAATAGTCAGTTTGGGTGTGTGCCGTTTCGAGCATTCTTCCACCAATAGTGAGTGAGTATTGTTTTAAGTTTCTTTTAGAATAGTCCAGACATGGTATGACAGAGGAGAGGTAAAATTGGGTTTAATGTTTGTCCAAGATTATTGCTCTTATTAAGCAACGTGCATGCATGTGTGTGTGTGGCTGCTTGTACCAGTCCGGACTGATGCTGTTTTATAGTGCTAGCTCACTGAGATACCATGCCGCAGTTTAACACGAACACCCCACTCAGACACAGTATACTGACTCCGAGCTGACCAGTCCTTGTGTTAGCCCCTGAATGCCGAGCGCCAGACAGTGTAACACAAAGTGCCATCTTTTACAGCTTTTGGTAAGACACAGACGGGAATCGAACCCCGGACCTTCAAAGCAGACGCTCTACCACTAGACCACAGAGGCGCTCAAGAATGACAGAGGACACCAAGAATGGGGTTCACAGATTGAACTCAACCCATGGCATTGAACCTGGGCATCGAACCCAACCCTGGGCCTCAAGCATGAGAAGACAAACTTTAACCACACAAAGCTACCCCTTTTCCAGCATTAAGACCATGAGGTATAACAAAGGCCTTGGGTCGTGGTGGGGTGAAATGGGGCTTAACATCACGGTTAAGATTACTGCACTTATACAGTGGTGCATGCATGTGTGATGGCGTGTGTGTCTGTGTCTGAAGTTATGCTGGTTTTATAGTGAGAGCCCACTGAGATACCATACTCTGACTCCTTATACTCCCAGCCGACCAGTTCTTCTTCTATCCCCTTAATTTCAAGAACCAGGCAGGGTGACAACAAGTACCATCTATTAACGTCTATTGGTACTTCCAGTGTCAATGTCAATATGACATGCAATGGGATGTCCTCAGATCGTTGTGTAGACTTGTTTTTGATAAGATTGTGTTCAACATAGCACTGAACAGTTTTTCAGTCACGTCAGCTTGACCTGGCAGCCTATCACATGACCACACTGGAATTGAGCTGATGGGTATATAATCCAAGCTGCCAGAAGTAGATCCTAAGACAGCTAAGGGAATCAACTCTGTCCGTGATGAAACAATGTTCAGCTCAAGAAATCATAAGTACTCACGGCAGCGCCTTCTTCCGCGGGAGGGAGTAGGGAGTGGGTCAGGAACGACAGGCAATCGTGGTCATCTGCAACATCGTCAACGTCATTGTCATCACAAAAACACTCTGCCTTAACTGACCTTTAACTCAATCATAACAAGATGTCATATTAAATATTCAAATTCAATGCTTACACACATACAAAAACTGACATTGAAACATCTATTTCCCATTTACTTACAGAACACATTTCAGTCTGCACATAAATTACTTAATAACTTTATATTTTGTATATTTCAAAGTACATTTTGATACATTTAACTTAAAAGGAACACTTAAAATCTTAAGAACCATACTTAAACTGAATTCATAACCATCACAGATGAAGCTTATGACTCCCGGAGTATTTGTCAATCCTCATCTCAGAAAGCACCCATATTCTTTTGGGGAATTCTAACAAACTACCATTCCTTCAGATCAGTTGAAATTGAAAAGATTTGTATTCAAACTACACCCACTCTCAGTCTGTGTCAAAACCTATTGAGTCTACAAACCCTAACTTTGATCATACAGCAGATTATAGACCGAACAAACTTTTACTAGACTTCCACCCATACCCCGCTTTTAATTTGTAATGACTATGGTGACAATTTGCTCGCTAAGAATGAAAACCACATATACATATATATCTCCTTTGAAAGTAATTGCAAGACAGTAAATATCTCTCAAAGAAACACTAGACTGCATTACTCACCGGCAAGACCCCCAGTAGCGGCAGACACTCCCAGGTATCCGTTCTTCGGCAGGTTGATGTTCTCTACCCTCATGCACATCTCAAACTCATTGGCGTTCTGGGTGAGACCGTTGTTGACAAACACCTACAACATAACACATACCATTGATTAGCCACAAATACAAAAATACAACTCTAGCCAATATCAAGTTCTTACTTTTCTTCTTTACAGGTCTTTTGTTAGAAGCAAACACAACCCAACACTGAAACATTTCCCAAAAACATGATCGTGAGTAACAAACTAGGAATAAAACAATTCATTTCTGATGTGCCAAAGTGTTTGTTATGTCAACGTTTTAGATGCATTCAGGAACAGGTCCTGCACCTCTAGGAAATAGTGGGACACAAACTTTATTCTGTTTGCTATCTCATTAAATCGCATCTGTCACTATGATACAATCAATTGAGAAATTGAACAATTTTTCAGTGTTCTTGGGAAATTATAAAAAAAAAATCATTTTTCAAAATCAGGGAAAAACCAGTTCGGTGGATCTGTAATACAAGAACAAAATCTGGTCTTGCCTTATCTGCAAAAGCCAGAATTAAATACAATAGTCCCCAGCTATACAGGGCTTTTGTTGAATTGGTTTGTCTCCTAATTACCCCCTGATGCAGCATCTGCATCCACTACAGTCAGATTCATCCTGCTACTCACTGTGATGGCCTTGTTGTAGTACTCAACCCGGAGACGCACAGGGAACGGTTTGTTTCTGAAATCTCTCAAACAGCCACCCAACATCTGAGACTGGCCATCACTAAAACAAAGAAGCAGAGCATGAAATTCCCAAATTCCCAAATTCTTGTCCTGGCAGAACATCAGAACAACTTTTGCTACAGACGATCTCGTTCCTAGATGTGTGTTCCCTGTTGAATGTCACACTCAGCAATATTCCCGCTATATGAGAATGGCCTGTAAATAACCAAATATGGACCAGACAATCCAGTGACTGATATAATGAGTAAGGTCCAATTCCTGTCAGGGTACGATGACACGCAATCAACCGGTACACATTGTCACGTCATACGACAAGTGTTGGTTTCTGGGGACCAATTCTCACCCACGTCACCACATGGCCGACAAAAAAACAAGTCCTACATTTTCCAGTAAAACTGATCATATCTGAACCTCAGACATTGTTACTTGTAAGGACAGGTATATTTCATCTTCCCGAAGCAAAGGAGTTAACTGACTTTAAAAGACCAGTTTCTACCCTTTCCGAACTAGGCTAGTCATATTTTTACTGGCCTAACGTGTCTATGCATAGTCCAATAAAAAATGTATAGCTGAATCGACATACGGTTCGTAAACAATATGGGAATTGCCGAACCGATTTTGGTTGATTGCAGGATTTGCAAAGCATGTGTACCATCGACTGGGTGTCAACAAATATTTTCAATATTTTTTCATGTTTTATCAACTTGCTCAAGTGGTTTAATGCACTTTGTGAGGTAATACCCCATTAATTACGATATAAATCTTGACTATCGATCAGATGGTCTTGACTGGGCGTTGCCATTTTGTTTGTAGCAAATGCAAGTGATTTGAGAGGTGGAATCTGATTGACATAACTTGTAATAGCCACTGGTGGCCCTTCGATTGAGCCATGAAATTCCAGCCTAGTTTGGGAAGGGTGGAAAATAGACTTTAAAAGTCAGTTAACTCCCTTGCCTCAGGAAGATGTGTTCATTTGAGAAAAAAACAAAGCTGAGTTTGGAACAGTTAAAGGGCAAGTACCTCAACAGTTCTGGGTGTTTTTAGATCATGCATGAAATAATTTCTGAGTGTCACATCCCACCTTTAGTTCATGCATGATTCAATTCTCAAACCAAAACAATAGAGCTCCGCACAGCGAAGGCGACAACCTGAGCGCAGAATAACTGGCTTCATTCATGTTTCTATTAGAGGCAAATTGAAGAGAGTGAGTGAGTGAGTGAGTTGGGTTTAACGCCGCTTTTTACAGTATTCCAGTTATATCACGGCATGTCAGCTTAATGTGGGAGGAAAGCCCGAAGTGATGCGAGTCTCAGACGTTTACCACTTCGGTGAAACTCACGAGCACTGGTATGGTGCTGACAAACCTAGAAACATAATCGGGGCGAACCGGGATTCGAACCCACAATCATAGGTTTCTGGAGTGCCGAAGGGACGCAACTCTGCACAGCGAATCACGGCGCCTTAGACGACTGGGCCACCCGTGCCCCCCAAATTGAAGAGAAAGCTTGTGTGTTTTTCTTACGGATGAGTTACAGAATACTAATTTCCGGCTTCATTGGATCAGAAGCTGTTGTCTATCAAAAGCCCAGATTACAATATACATGTCTCGGTCGAATGAGACCAATCACGTTGCAGAACAGTTTCCTACCCAGAGTTTCTTGCACCAAGTCCAGAACCTCCGCAACATTATCACATTTTACCCAGTCCATGCAAGATGTTTACCTCATATTGATCAAAACGTGAAAAATTATTTTCAATGGCGTATTTTTACTTTCTTTACATTGGTGGTAGAGCTCCATGTACTGTCATCAAAGCCCTACAGAGAGCTAGCATTGCAGCATCATTGCACCACTTTGCTGTGTGAAGTTACATGTCATGCACCTCATAGTCACAGTCAAGGTAGCATATCTATATAATCAACACTAAGTAAGGCACACTGAAATGCTTGCATTAGGCCCACCAGAATAAGTGCATTTGTTTGAAAGCAAGAGAAAAGTTCGGTCACGTGATGAGCCTACACCTGTGGTGTGGTTCACTGGAGCAGAAACTTCTCATGGAATAAGGCAAACAGAGCTGAGTAAGCTTGAGGGTTATAGGCTATGAGTGTTATTGGCTATTGTTTGCAAATAATGCTTCAGAATGGTTGATGTATTGGCACCTGCAGAATTTCTTGCATTTCTCAAGATGAGGTGACCCTGTTGTATGTCAACTCAAACAGACATACACTAAATACTGGGTCTACTGTCTAGAGCAAGTCCTTCACAGAATCTCCATGGGTTTAAAACTGGTTATAACACTTACTTTGCATGCTCAAATAATAACGTTCCATCGTTTGTCACTGCCATGATATAAGGGTTGTTTTGCTGAAATGAAATAATACATTCAATTAGCTATTTCATGTCAAACATGTAACTATGTTCCAGTCTTCCACGTCAAACATGTAACTATGTTCCTGTCTTCCACGTCAAACATGTAACTTTGTTCCTGTCTTCCACGTCAAACATGTAACTATGTTCCTGTCTTCCACGTCAAACATGTAACTTTGTTCCTGTCTTCTACATCAAACATGTAACTATGTTCCTGTCTTCCACGTCAAACATGTAACTTTGTTCCAGTCTTCCACGTCAAACATGTAACTATGTTCCTGTCTTCCACGTCAAACATGTAACTTTGTTCCTGTCTTCTACATCAAACATGTAACTATGTTCCATACATGTAACTATGGAATTTTGCAGCACACTGCCATATTGACACTGTGTTGATCAAGCGTGGATGTGTCACATAGGTAAAACAGATGGTTAAATCAGCATACATCTATGAGAAGAAACAAGAGACTGATATCTGTCATACAGACACAGACACAAACACTGCCTGATGACAAGCAAAATTATTCAGCAGTGAAGCATTTAAGACCAAGTAGAAGCAGCGTATTATCACATATATGGTGAAGGCATGGCATGACAGATTAACTACAGTAATATGAAAGAATCAGGTTACCCTTAACTTTATTTCAGTAAACATAAAATTGAGGCCCCACAATTACAATGATTCAAATTTTGAAAAAAAACCCCAGATGTTTGGAATCCATCATCCTTATTTTCTTAAATCTTCATGAAACATGTTTCATTGATTTGTTGTTACAAAGACAGGCAGTAGAGTGCTAGGGACCAATTAGAACCTGTGTCACAAGCAGGAAGCTGAGTTTATAGAGAAATACACAACTATATTTTCTGACCAAAAACGTCAGCATTAGAAATTCAAACAAAACTTTCATTAGACAAGTTGTCAGATTTATGTACTTGATATGACACTGAACTGGCCCCACATGTTACATGGAGCTGTTCGTTCTATGTTGCGTCTCTGTCATGTAATAACAGGATATTATAACCAAAAGAAATATCCCCTGTTTTAGCTGACAGTGACTGGGCTTACTTCAAAGTGAGAAACATCCGGTCCGGTCTGGTCAAGTCCGATTTAGACAGCTTTTTTTCAGTAGTAAATTGGTTGTTGGGACCATAATTTTGGTCCGAAGTTCAAATTGTAAAAGGTCCGAATTAGAGAGTTGTGAACAGTTTGAGTAATGATAATTTATTAAGGAACTGTTTGGGCCAGAGAAAAATTTGAGTCCCATTTGGAAAGATTCCACAGTATTAATATTTTCAATGGTCTTGTAGAACATAAACAGTCAAATAGCTACTTCACATTAAAATAGAAGTTAAAACATGAATATTATTAGCAAAAGAAATATCTTTATGGTTTATCTTCTAATTTGAGGTTTAATCAGCCAGCGGGCCTTTTATTTCATAAAACCTTTGAAAATATTAGTTGTCCCGTCCTTGATTATCCAGTGTATAATATCTCCATTCTGTTATGACCCAAGATCCATTCACAACAATAGCATGGTTAACATGGTTAAGGAACAGCTAAGGAACTCCTACCATAGCAGAGACTTTCCCTTGTTCTTGAGCTTTAAATGAACCAATAAAATTACCTCTTTTAAATAGAAAATCAGTACATTCAACATTCAAAAGTGTGGCCACATCCGAGAGAGCCCTCGATATATTAAATAAAATCAGAACACTGTCAAAAATGAAGTTGTAGCTGGAAAAGATGTTTTCCTGAGTACTAAGACATGGATGTTCCAGGTGTATTTGAGCCAGCATAAAAAACTGTAATTTGAGTGGACTTTTAGTGTGATGCCGAATGGATCCAGACTTCTTGTCCAGCTTTAGAAATTGGCACTAGTCCTGTAGTCCTTGACAAACTGCCCAATGGTAAAGGTATCCTAAGGACTAGTAGAAATTGGTCCATTTTAAGGGTTTTGCTATATGTTATCATAATAAGGATTAGTGATAAAACTGTTAGTTTCTAACCCTGCTTGTCATTACAGAATGGGGATGTAATACAATGGATAAACGAGGATGTACAATACTGTGGTGTTACCATTTGGGTCATTACTACTGTAATATGACTAGGTGATGTCACTCAACTGAAAAGGTTTCACTCGTGCTTCGACAAGTGACCTAAGTCATAGACTGATAGCCATGGGTTAGCGCTAGTTTCACTCAATGCTAATATACTCACCTGTCCGTCGTTATCGAAGGAGTCGAGGAAGATACCAAGACCGTCCCACTTGTCGTTGCTGCCGAAGACGTCTCCCTCCACCCCCTTGTTCTTGGTGTACCAGATAGCCTACAGCACACAACACATATATAATGTACATGGCCAAGTTTGCATAATGCCTGGCTTTGCGGGCTTCATTTGTAGGTTCAAACACTGTCAAAATAATCCACACACTTGTGTTTCATTATAATTTAATCATCATGTTACAGCTCCTTGCTATATGATGAAATCAGTCATTCTCACACAGATTTATTCAACAGTTTACCATGGCTGCCAAATTCAAGACCTTTCCAAGACTTTTACCATTTTTAAAGGCCTTTCAACATGATCAAGGCACATTTCAATTAAGGCCTTTTTAAGGCCTGGCTGTCTAATGCAAGGCCTTTTGACATAACAAGGCAGATTCAAATTTCAGGCCTTTGCAAAACATTTTACCAAATAGTTACACCCTTTATTACCAAATTCAAGACTTTTCAAGCATGTGCAAACGATACAGGGAGGTCTAAATCTAATTAAACATAAGAATGAATGAGTAAGTGGGGTTTTATACTGTTTAAAGAGTCAGTTTATAGTTGATATTTGCCAAGGAAGGACTCCTACCATGCCGTCGGCTCCAATACGTCCTCGACCAGACACACGAACAGCGACCTCAATCTCCCAGTTCTCATATTCAAAAGGGTTCTTTGTCCACACATACCCTGTAAAGCGACGAAAAACAATGAAAGATACATTTGAACTGGAATAGCATCCTAACAGGAGTCTGATTAAGTGAATAGGTGAGTTGGATTCATCCCTGCTTTGAACAGTATTTCAGTTAACGGTAATGGCACGGAGTGTCAGTTTGATGTTGGAGGAAAGTGTTGCATGTTTACCACTTCAGTGAAACCCACTCACAATAAATTGCAGCACATCAGATCCATGCCGACGACTTCTGTGATACAGCGGTTCAAGCTATACTATAGAATTTTGCACTCAAATGAAGCAGGGTTAGAACTTAACGCCAGCCCAGTTGCCCTGGGCTAGTACAAATTCATGTGGGCTAGTACAAATTTCCAAACTTACCCATTGTTTTATAACTTTTAACTTTACAAGAGCATTTTACCTCTTGTGCTAGTAAAGGATTTGAGTTGAGTTCTACTATGTGAAGCCCCAACATTTTTCATGTGACTCAAATATACAAAATATGCAATAAAACATTGAAGAGATATAATTTCCGCTTTTAAACGTTCTAGTGGTATTATGACTACATGGACTATGTTTACATATCACCATCAACAAATATCAGTGACACTACACATATTTATTTGCATAATTATATGTCCTATCCAATGATAACTGTTTATAATGTGGAATTATTTTGTTTCGGATACGGATTCAAGGTTTTTGAAAAATGATTGTGTAATAATGCTTTAGGGAAAAACGGTTATGTTCTAACTTCAGAATGTAATTTTAGCCACAGAATTTTGATAATTTGACTGCAGAATTTGCCTGGGATGGTTAAATGACTGGGGCTCCCAAGTTTGACCCCCTAACAATGGTATTACTGAGACCTGTTATCCAACTTGGTTCCAAACACCGAAATTATTTACAAGGTCTTCTTATGAAGAAGTCATTTTGAAATCCTAACTGATAGGTTAATGATGGCATCTAGTGATGTCAATCTACTTGTATTTATTAATTTCCAACCTTTTGGATTTTTAGGTACTGATTTTTTAGGTACTTGTGTTGTGCTATACAATAAGAAAAAAGGAAACCACATGCAGACACACAAACAAATTATTATCCATATTGATAGGATTCAATCATTCTTACGGAGTCAGCCATTTTTGCGGAATCTAGCATATGGTGAGAGACTGATAGTATCAAAGGTCACACACACAGATCCTGCTGTAGAGAGCAAGCCGAGTCCATAGGCACTTAGAAATTACATTGCTTTGCACTTTGTCAATCGGTCAACATGTTACAATGACTCCAGTTAGTCTGATCAATGATCGAACCGTGTTATAGAGCACAATGACATGAGACTAATCATTATAAAATCTGACTCAATAAAACAGTGATAGCGGTCTAACAATGGTAACAAGGTAACCATTACTGTTAAGACACTTCAACCAACTTGGTGAGCTCAATAACTATGTTTACATCTGGGTTTCGTTCCACTATGCAATCTTAGGGCTAAGATTGACTTAACTCAATATAGAAGTATGAGAGTTACACTACAGTCATCATACCGGTAAGATCGCTTTGTGGAACAATGTGAGTGAGTATGGTTTTATGCCATATTTAGCAATATTCAAGCAATATCCAGTCGCTGATGAATTCTGCAGTCCAATTATGAAAATTCTGTGGTAAATTGCACAATTCTGCGGTATATTCCACAGCAAACATATCTATTTCTCTCTTAAAATTAACAAAAACTCCTTTTTGAGTTTAAAAATGTAATCTCAGACATTTAGTTTGTTTGTTGTTGTTGTTGTTGTTTTACGCCACACTCAGCAATATTCCAGCTACATGACAGCGGTCTGTAAATAATCGAGTCTGGACCGGACAATCCAGTGACTGACATCATGAGCATCGATCCACGCAATTGGGAGGATGACATGCATCAACCAAGTCAGCATGTCTGACCACCCAATCCATTAGTCGCCTCTTACGACAAGCATAGCTGCCTTTTACGGCAAGCATGGGTTACTGAAGACCTATTCTACCACGGATCTTTACAGGTCCTCAGACATTTAGACATATCTCAGACATTTAGACATTTCAAGACTCTGTCACTGATATTTCTTTATGGTTAGATGTAAACATAGTTTATGGACTCATAATACCAAAAGAACATTTAAGAGTGAGAAATATTTATTTCAAATTTTGTTTTATTGTAGGATTCATATTTCGTATATTTGAACAGCATGTTAAAAGTCTGGACATCAATCAAATGCAACATTCTATTAAAAAGCTTGAAAATAATGAAAATTGATGTATTGATTGATAACAAAGGGGAAATTATGGATACTTCTGCAATTGTGTGCGTTAAGTTACGTTTTCTGAAATAAGCTCCACACGTAGTACCAATGTGGGGAAGAGAACCTGGGTCTTTTGTGTGACGAGCATGTGGCACAAAGCCTGTTAAAAGTTGTTAAAATTGTTAAATGGGCCAATAACGTTTTTAAGAAACTTTTTCATCATGTTCTACAACTGCACTGAAAAACCTAATGGGAAAATATTGCTACTTTTCACATTAGTTCTGAACAAAGAAATTCATCCATCCTGTGTCTGTACTCTCGACCAATTATTCTCTCTTACCTTTCTTGCTCCTCAAAGATGGTGTCAACCTGATTCCCTCGTCCCCAGCCAGTGCAGCTGAAATACGAATTCACAAAGTTTACTCATGTTAATCAGATTTTGTTTGTCTTCTGGTTCAGACATATATAGAAAGTGAGTAGGGTTTTACACCACTTTTAGCAATATTCCACTAATATCACGGTGGAGGACACCAAACATGGGCTTCACACATTGTACCCATGTGGGGAATCGAACCCTGGGCTTCGGCATGACGCGCAAACACTTTAACCACTCGGCTACCCAACGCCTCTTTCAAAGATACAGCACAAGTCATAAAATATATCTCTTTCCATGACCAGGTATAAATTGTTCTCTGCAACAAATTACACTTGTCTTTTCTTTCAAGTATTTGATTCCCGCTGTTTACTTGCAACTCATTTTATTCAAAATTTAATTGACTCGGTTTGATTGTGCGTTGTTTTATGCTACACACAGCGATATTCCAGCTATATGCTGGCGACCTGAGTTAGTTGAGTCTGGACTGGACAATCCAGTGATTGATATTGTGAAAAAGGCTCCACATTGTCGGACACGATGACACTTGATAAACCATGTAACCTTGCCTGAACACAAGCTCGCACTTGTGTACCATGTGTACAGTCGGTATGGTCGGAGTTTTTTTTAACATGAAGATCATCAGTGTTAGAAATAATTTTAAAACCCATGTCAGACAGTTGGGAAGGTGACCGATAAATGTTGCCTACCCATCTTCAAAGTTACCTGCGCACATTCAGACATTATAGATATATAAAATATCAAATCAAAATCTACGAGGAGTTATAATAAAACTGAATATGTAAGTTGGCTTTATGTTATCTCGCAAGACAGTCGGGCAACTGGAGGATAATTTCAGGAAGACTGACCGAAAAGTTACCAGCCACGGGCAGGCGGGCAAGCAGATATTTTTGTTAAGTTGCAGGTCAGATAGATTGTCCTAAACAAAGGCTTTTTTTCACTGTGGCTGCATGCTGTGTGGTCCGCTGCAGGGTGTGTCTGTTCCCTGACCAAGCTATAGTTGCCATGGTTACTGTTATACACACATCATGGACTATGCAATACAGCACATTAAAACAACACTTTCTATATCATACTGGTTACAGATCTCCTGCAAATGAATCAACCCTGGTAGGTAAATAAATTTCCAAAGAATACTTTACTTAAACCATGATGTAAACATCGGTCAGATGATTTAATTTGAAAATATATTTATTATTTTTTAAATTGCAGGATGCTTACAATTTTGACCAAAAAATTATTTTCATTTTGGCTACAGTTGGTGATACAAGGAAAAACAACAAAATAGTGTAGTTATGGGGGGTAATTTTTACCAAACATATAAAGTTGCAAATGTGTATCCTGAGTATTCTCTAGCCATTAATCTAAAAAGAAATGCCATTATTTTCAGGACAGTTCAAAACAAAATCCCCTTCCTCCCTTCCTATTAATTATTGATCTACCAACCAAACTGTACAAAACATTTCCTTGCCAATTAATTATTGCACTCATTGTTGGTTCGTAAACTTCATGCCTATCAAACAGTCTGATGCAAGTCTTTGAAACACCCTGTAGCACTGACAACAGACAATCTCCATCCTACTGCTCTCTATCTGGTGTCATCCATGACAAATTTGCCATAATAAATCCTTCAAGGTTATCAACAATATAAAACAGTGCTCAATTCCACACTGACAATGATAATGACTTAACTTCACTAGCCCCTAGCCTGGATTAAGCTGAGCCTTCCCTCTCAGGGGCACTCAGCCATGACATAGTGTCAGATCTCAACACCAGACCTTGTAAAACAATAAATATCTCAGTGATGACATCAAGGCCTGGGGGACATTTCGGAGCATATGAAGGTTGTGTCTTATCATGGTTATAGAAAAGGAAGTTCAATTAAGGGATTATTGTCTTGACAGATAAATCACCTATTGGACATACCTTTGATTGCTGAAGTGAGTAATGCAAGTCTAAATGAGTAATGCATGTCAAAAAGAGTAATGCAAGTCTAAATGAGTAACGCAAGTCTAAATGAATAATGCATGTCAAAATGAATAATGCATGTCAAAATGAGTAATGCAAGTCTAAATGAATAATGCAAGTCTAAATGAAGTCATGTCGGCAATATTTCAGTCATACTGAGTGAGTGAGTGAGTTGGGTTTAACGCCGCTTTTAACAGTATTCCAGTCATATCGCGGCGTGTCAGCTTAATGTGGGAGGAAAGCCTGAAGAGATGCGAGTCTCAGACGTTTACCACTTCGGTGAAACCCACGAGCACGGGTATGGTGCTGACAAAACTAGAAACATAATCGGGGCGAACCGGGATTCAACCCACAATCATAGGTTTCTGGCGTGCCCAAGGGACGCAACTCTGCACAGCAAATCGTGGCGCCTTAGACGACTGGGCCACCCGTGCCCCCCAGTCATACTGAGACTAGACCACACAGGTGGTCACAGATCTGAAGCATCACAATATATTGCAATACTTAATTCCAGGCAATACCAGGAGTAGAAACATCTTCCTGTCCATGGTCCAGATGCAGGACCAGTGAATCTATTAAAGGGACCAAGCAAATTGTTTATTAAAAACTCTGATGGACCAACCATGAACTTATTTCGTTTTCTGACATTGCACAAAGCTACGGTTTGGGTCTTATTGTCAAAATGATAGTCTGATAATTTGGAAAAGTCTCTATTCAGAATATATTGTTACCATGGTTTATTGCTGCTTATCTTTGTAAAAGGGCAAAACATCAGCAGAAGAGTCAGACAATAAATTTCATTTGAATGCGGAGAAGTCTGATGTATTTATTGGTCACAGTGGTCTAAACATAGGATTTAGACAAAATTAGGATGTAAGAAACGAAATAAGTTGAACCAGAAAAAAACCATTTTTGGACCTGATGATATTTTTGGTAAGAGTGAGTGAGTATGGTTTTACGCCGCTTTTAGCAATATTCCAGCAATATCACGGCAGGGGACACCAGAAATGGGCTTCACACATTGTACCCATGTCAGGAATCGAACCCGGGTCTTTGGCGTGACGAGTGAACGCTTTAACCACTAGGCTACCTGACCGCCCCTTTTTGGTAAGAGGTCCTGGGCCAGAGTGTATGAGAAATTTTCAACTCCTGAATTCACAGGTCTAATATTTATTACAATCTGGGTCTCGTGATCATCTCCCCCCCTGGGATCTAGAATCTGTGAATATTAGAGACTACACAGTCTTTGATATAATTGTGAATGGTAATGTCTAGATCATTATCACACTGACTGCAATGCTACGAAACCATTGACATGAACCTCACAGTTTACACATGTAATCACATCAATATATCGACCCTGTGACACAGACAATATACACCAGATAACTGAAGTTCTAGCATTCCCATCTGTAAGTCAGTTATCATGGTAATACAAGAAACAGCTGTTGATATAGACACATCAGACAACACCTGTCAATCATTGCCACCTGAAACTTTGTCCCAGCTGTGAATACTGCAATGCGTTCTGTCTCATTCAGTTAATCCCACCAACTTAATACTCAGACATTCACGGTCTAAATGGGGATTTGTCTAGAAGTGCTCTTAACAGGAAATTTTGGGATTTTTTATTATTAAATGTTTGATTTTTGTAAAAAAAGTTTCTGTTTGGAATTTTGACAATGCATTCAAAATAAGAATGGAAAACTAAGTATCATTATTGGTCCTCCTGTCAGTGAGGTATAAGTCACCTCTGCCACGTCGGCAAGGCAATAAGTTGTAGCAGGATCACGAGGGGAAATGATTCAGTTGAAATAATGCAAACAACTGCATCTGATGATGAGAAAATCCCAAGCCCTCACAATAGCAAAAGGCCCACTTCTGCCTCTCACAAGTTTGGATCATTCACGGTTTTCAAGCCATACTTCAGAAATGAAATACGGACAGCAAGATAGACAGACCGTATTAAGACTATAATAAATCAGAATAAAAGTGAATATGTAAGTAGAACTAAAATTATCTGACAGACAGTCAGGCAGGTGGAGGTAAAGTTGCCAGTCGTGGGCAAGCTGGCTGGCAGTTAGTTGGACTGACAGTTGCAACAGACTCGGGCCCGACGATGTAGACAATCCCTGCTGTTTATGGGTTTCATTACTTGCACCATTCAATCAGGCCCCCTCCTTGCCTTAGGAGACACTTTGTGTGACGTGTGGGGTACTTCTGAATAGATAGGAAACTACTGGACCAGTGCGTCGATGCATACGGATACAGTAAACTATGTTTGTAACAACATGCTAATAATGAATTGACAGATACAACAAACTGTTTTTTGGCCCCAACCATTTGCTGTATATCTTATATAAAATTCACTGATAACACGATATATGCACATAACGAAATAATGGATGTATAACATGTATAATGGAATCACTTGGTGGTCCCATGTGTACTCTTTCCATGACAATCTAAATGCTTAAAACGAACTGTAAATCTCTGAGCTGCCCACATGTCATCAGCCTATCAAAATGTCCGTGGCCACGCTCGGCTGTTCAAAGTGGCAATAAACAATTGAAGGCAAGTGAATAACTGGAATAACTTGTCCCCAATTAACAACAGTAAAACAGTGATTAGACTATAGCCTTTGAAGTGGATATATTATGTCTTTAAAATATGACTTGAGTGAATAACACGATATTGACACATGACTTGATCAAAGATGTCTGACCAAAATACTTATAATGAACTATGGTCATACAATCCAAATATAGTGGTCCCTTTGATTGGTTGGTTTGTTATTTAACACCACACTCAGCAATATACCAGCTATATATATGACAGTGGTCTATACATAATCGAGTCTGGACCAGACAATCCAGTGCTTGATATCATGAGCACTGATCCACGCAATTGGGATACGATGACATGCATCAACAAAGTCAGCGAGCCTGACCAGCCGATCCCGTAAGTCGCCTCTTACGACAAGCATAGTCGCCTTTTACAGCAAGCATGGGTGGCTGAAGGCCTATTCTACCCCAGTTCTTCACGGATCAGTGGTCCCTTTGAATTTGTTTCAACCGTAGTTTACTGTAAATGTATATGATGGGTACCATGGTTACTCATTTAGTCAGCTTGATTTAAAGTACCCTAACCTTGAATATGCTATATGTAATGAGACACAAGTCATCCAATCATCAACATCTGCTTCCATAACATGTCTCAGTAGATTCTCTGTGAAATTAAATTTAATAGTTAATTGTTGTTTAATGCAGCACATGTGCAATATTCCAGCAGGAAGTAATCAAGTCTGGACCAGGCAATGAAGAGATCCCTACTGTGAGCAATGATCCACCCTGTTGAGGTACAATGTCAAGATAACCAATAATGTTCACTCCTGGAATGGATTCGTTAACTTAACAATTCAAATATTCCAGAGATATGCCCACACTGGCCCATACATCAGAATGTTAAAATGCCTCACTGTCTTTGAAACTGAGTGCCATTCTTAAAATTTAGGGGTTAAAAGTGCAAAAGCCCCTCCTAGATTTATCCCTGAACCAAGTCAATGAGTGTGACCACCCTATCCATTTGGGCGCCAGTCGCTGTCCAGATTATTGAGTGAAGCACCATCCAGTTTTGAGTTGTCATTTCTTTAATATGCTGTATTAAAAAATAGCAGGTACCGGGGAATGGGAAAACCTTGATTCATTCAATCTTTCCAGTTCAAAACGCTTAAGAAACTACATTTACAACTGAATTACTCTTGGTACTGGCAGTGACATTCTTTAACATGCACATTGTTTGTGAAGGCTGATGTATTCTGTAAATGCTGAAGAAGCAGAGATTAATAATCATATCTATGTATTAGCAACCAATAATTTCGTTAAATGTTGGTTTGTAATGTGATTGTAAATTGGACTAAAACAATTCTTAAAAGTGATATACAACAGTCAAAAACGTTTTATATGTAGAGGCGACTTGTATTTCACTGATAACATCAACAGGACTGATAAACATGAAAAGAGGCATTTAAATCCTCAATGCTTAGTTTAACACTATTGCACTGAACATGATGAACGGAATGTTCAAATATATCCTAATTCAAGAAAATAAAAACTTTAAAAAAATCCCAATTTTGAAAAACGTCACTGTGGTATTGAGACCTACTAGCCATATAAACAACACGAGTGGACTCAGTTCTATGTGATTTTCACTTCGTCACATACAGACTACACCCAGCATGCATTTCTGAGGGGGTTCATTGTACCTAGATTCTGAGGCGCGTTCATTGCCAGAATGTGATATAGTCACTTACTTTGGATTATTGACATGTCATTATGATCATGTCATATACAACATCGGCAATATATTATTGATAAATGTATTATCTTTCCATCAATACATATAGGCTACGAAATGTATAGAATTATTTGAAACATTATAACTTACATGCAAAACGGCACATGTCTTCATCATGTGCTCTTTGTCAGTTAGTGCTTACATGTTGTTATCCAGCTAACCAACAAGGTTTCATTTCATCAATAAACATAATTCATTCAATCCGAACTGATGTTAACATAAGTTACAATCACATAAGTCTACCATAACATGTTTGCTTACAAAGGCAAAACACGTGAAACATAAATATCACTTAAAATCTTAAGGGTTTAAAAGGACTAGGCACACCACGTTTAGAATTTAGCCTACAATACTACCGGTGCAACTTTATTCATGTTATTTCTAAATGAACATAACGCTCGCTTCTATTTGAGCGATGGTCGGGTGAATAATGTCAAAACAACCATGTGAGATGAATCGGAAACAATCCTAAATCACTATCAGTCAAAAAGCGCAATTGTAAATAAACCATATGGGACTGGTGGTAGCTACACGTGTACAATTTGGCCAACCAAAATGTGCCGCATACCCTCCAGATTTGATAACTTACCTCCGCCATGTTCCCAAAAAGGCACGCTTTGATCTTGCTGCACAAGATGGGGGCCTTTGAAACTGAACTTGTATTCAAATTTCCTCTTTGGTAAAACTGCCTGAGCGATTAAAACACAACTTAACAAAACAACAACAGAGAACATCGCTTCAGTGACAGCCATCTTGAAGGTTTGATACAGCTCCCTCTATAGCTGTGTTCCCGAACTAGGAGGAAGTAATTCTAACTTTCGCCTGAGCGACAGCCGTTATAAGGATAATGGTCATTATGCAATTAAGATCACGTGAACAGTTACCCATTGTCAATCTGTCAACCCATCAATCAGCCGGTCTTCCTTTTAAATTTTACGCGTTGCTCCAGGAGGTTTTGATCGGGGACATCGAATGGATCTTTCCATTTTGCCGCATACAGCATAATACAAATTGTATGTGTCTGTGAAACGGAATATTGGACCCAAACTTCTAGACTGAATCCTGATGAAATAAAGAAATGATTTACAATTTAAAATATATTCCTTAACATAAGATAAATAAATAGAAAAAGCCATGACTTGATATGTGGTCCATTCGAATTTTGACACCAGTAGGCTGAAATGTAGTATTGAAATCTCTACTCCTACCAAAATTAAATCACCTTTTCTCGTCCAGACGTAGCCCTACACATGATATAATACAAACCTTTCAGAAAAAACTACGAAGTAAGTAAAATCAGTGCTAATTAAATTGTAATCAGGCACAGTATTTTACATCTGGTCATAATTCCATGCACCATTTAAAGATACTCCTGCCTGAGTTTTAAACATCACCTATAATAGAAAGTGTCATGACAAATTGACCTGATCCGCAGAAATATGTTATACTGAATAGAAAACTCCAATCAAGTAACAACATACCTGTGTACTGTAAATAGACAGATCGATAGCTTATATAGAGCATTACACGATGTATACAGACAGGGGAAATAAAAAAGAAGAAGAAAAAGATAAATACATCAAGGTTATTTCAAGTTTTGTTTATTCTTATGATTGTGTGATATACACTCTTCAAAAATGAAATGCACAGGTAGATTTTTAGTAAATTTCTTGTACCTAATAAAGTCGATATATTTAATTTAATATCATACGTGTAAACGGTACTCGTTTTACCGTTATTTACACTTAGAGGCGTCTATAAAAGTGAATAGATAGTCTTGAGCAGTTATAAATAATATATAGAAATGTCATCTTTAATAAAAAAAGTTTATAAAAAGGTCAACCATTATCATGATTTTTTGAGTGATTGCGATACAAAGTAATGTCACATGGGCAATGTCTTTGACACATAGTAACGAGAATAAGTTAAGGAACTGCTAAAAGCCCATGTCATCAGGAACTATCACACCAAATTTACAGATCCAAACAATTAGTCAATTACATGACTTTTATGGTTACCCATCTATATTTTTCTTTCGATATTGTTATTTATTATGATTGTTTACTCACATTTTTTTCTCATAATAACTTCATTTTCTACTTATTTATTTTCATATAACTTTATTAATTGTTAAAACTTGATGCCCGCTTTTAATATTATCACTTGCAACAAAACCCTGCATTTTCGTGTGCAAAATCAGGGTTCTAAATAAACGTTTATGTAATCGGTATATGGCCTCTGATGTAATGTACATCTAAATTTAAACTAAATAAGGTTTAACACCCAAGGAGTTTCGAAATATATATGTATGTGGTGGCAACGCCCTGTAAATATACAAGAATAGAACTGAAAGTGCCCATTCGATTGAAAGTGGTGTTTTAAAGCGTTCATAAAATACGGCATGACTTTAAGTGGCATTCCATACGCTGCCGTAATATACTACTCAAAAGAAGTTAAGGATCACCCGATTCTTTCATAATGGTAAAGTTAATCTGTCAAGACATGAGAGATTAACTATAGTAAAATGAAAGAATCAGGTGATCCTTAACATCTTTTGAGTAGTATAAGACCACGGCGTCAAAACGTACCATTCTTTCAGTGCGTTTCAACATCTGTATACCGAAATGTTCACACGAAGTGGAAATTCATGTCAACTCTGTCTTCACAACAAGTGTATCTTGACCGTTGCCTCTATTCGGAGGAGTGTTTTATTTTATTAGCTTAGAAACCGAAAAAAATAACGATTACATGTAAATGTAAAAATGAACTCCCCAAAATGTCAATATTGATAAAAAACCAAAATACTTCTGATGTTTGGTGCCTGTTCAGAAGTAGACTTGACTGGCGCCTAGTCAAGTCAATTTCGCACGTGCAACGCAAGAATCTTGTCACAACGTGATCGAGTGACTGGCACGCTGTTTTGTGCCTGCGGCCACACCCAAAAGTGGTTATCTTCACGCTCTGGGTCAGGCTTAGCGGCAATTCGCGGAATCGGCCATTATTAAATCGTGACATGGGTCAGTGGAAAATAGTCGTTATGGTCAAACGAAATAACGCTAAAACACCCCTAATACAGGCATGGTCGGATCCATGATTTTGAAAAGAGTAGAAGGGAAAAAACACATGCTAAAGAGACCTGACCCCGGTTGATAAGTGTCTATTAAAGGTGAAACAGTGTGGTGTTTAGGGGTGGGTGTAGTTTGTAGGGATGGGTGACGGTGGGTGGGTGACATATGTAGGCATGAGAGGTTGGTGGGGCTTCGGGTGTGGACCGGACAAACTAATGATTGATATTATGAACATCGACTAACGGGATGAGTGAGTGAGTATGGTTTTGTTACGCCGATTTTAGCAATATTCCAGCAATAATCACGGCGGGGACACCAGAAATGGGCTTCACACATTGTACCCATGTCGGGAATCGAACCCGGGTCTTCGGCGTCAAAGCGAACGCCTTAACCACGAGGCTACCCGACCGCCCCACTAACGGGATGGGTTGGTCAGGCTCGCTGACTTGGTTGATGCATGTCATCGTATTCCAAATGCGCAGGACCCGTGAAGATTCCGGGGTAGAATAGGTCCTCAGCAACCCATGCTTGCCGTAAAAGGTGGCTATGCTTGTCGTAAAAGGCATCTAACGGGATCGGGTGATCGGGCTCGCTGACTTGGTTGATGCATGTCATCAATCCCAATTGCGTGGATGGATGCTCATGATATCAATCACTGGATTGTCTGGTCCACATTCGATTATTTACAGGCCGCCGTCATATAGCTGGAATATTGCTGAGTGCGGCGTTAAACAACCAATTACCAACCAACCGATTGCGCAGATGGATGCTCATGATGTCAATCACTGGATTTTCTGGTCCAGACTCGACTATTTACAGACCTCCGTCTCCTGGCTGGAATATTGCTGAGTGCGGCGTTAAACAATTGATAGACAACAGAACTCGCTGCTTCAGGTCAAACTTGTTATTCGTAATTTCATTATACAACTGACAAGCGATCAACTCCACACACACACACACACACAATCATTCCCAAAACACCATGACAACACACAACACAATCAAGGTAACACTCTAAACTTACAACTTTACCGATACAATTCACGCGCTCTCATAACAACACCTGAACGTCAGGAATGAGCGTTATCTCAATAGTTACAGGCCTCCGTCTTATGGCTGGATTATTGCAGAGTGCGGCGTTAAACAACAAACAAACAATTCTATTACAAGTGACTATAGTCCGGCCGAGTACATGTTGCCTCACACAAACATTTGGTAGGCGTCAATCACCTGATTGTTTGGTCCAGACTCGATTATTTAGACCGCCGTCTGAAATAGCTGTAATATTGCTAAGTGCGGCGTTAAACAACAAACAAACGATCAAACAAACTGTAACATACATGGACTGTAATTATTCCAACTTCTTCAACAATGCCGCATGCAGGTTTTTGTGCCAAATTGTAACGTACTTTCCTTGTCATATGCAGGCGGTTACAGCTGGATCACTTAGATCTGATGTTTTATATTTATTTTCTGTTCCAAGATGCCACTTACTCGAAACGTCATGATTAAATCCCGATTCTAGTGCTACACATCCTACCAAATTGCAGCTCTCTGTAGAGATAATGATATAACGTGTTCCACAATTGAAATATATCGCTTTCAATTTTTTTAAAAAAGAGCTAAAATTTTCAGTTTCATACTGAGAACAAATTTAAGTCATGTTGTTGTTCAACACATCTTCATAAAGTTTCGGGGCGGTTGGGTAGCCTAGTAGTTGTTGTTTTTTAAGGCTTTCACTCGTCATGTCGAAAACCCGGGTTCGATTTCCCACATTTGTACAATATGTGAAGCCCATTTCTGGTGTCCCCTTTGTAAATCCCGTGGTATTACTGGAACATTGCTCAATGTGGCGTAAAACCACACTGACTGACTGACAGACTGACTCACTCACTCAAAGGTTTCTGAGAAGATTTCTTTCTGAATTTTAAAGTTTGAATTTTGTCCGGTTTTGTTTCAGAAAAAAACATGTCTTTTATTTTCTGCCATGAACCAATCTGAAGCCTATTATTTGTTACACATACAATCAATGTTGCGGATTCCGTTACATTGCGATTTCGTTACGATATTTCACAAATAAAATTATTTTCTTGCTAAAAACTTTTTTAATGTTATGACATGTTTTTGTCAAATACTAGATTATGCCTGACAACCCCTGATAGTCTCAGTCAGACGGTGGTACGTTGTCTCACGTTGACATGGATCTTTGGTGGGAGTGGTCAAAACTTAGAGAATTATTTTATTTATGGGTGAACGTTTTCTTTGCTCACTTATATGATTGCGGCTGACATCACGCGACAGTTATTATTGTCCTTAATGAAGCAATCTCACTCCATGATGATGTCACGTCAGAACAATAAGTCATTGTGGCTCGTTGGGTAGCTGACTTGACTCATTGTATCACAGAGACATATGAGCATGAAGGGATTACCTGGACAATGGGCAACTATAGACAAGGAAGTCATTTAACCCCAAGGTGGTTTAACAGACAAATGGAAAATAACCCACGGCTGAGTTAGTGTGACTACAAATTTGTTCTTTCTCTAAATTTGACAGCGAAAGCCTTTTTTCCATGTATTTTGCGATTGTACGAAAAGCGTTTTGGCAAAGAAAACTTTCTGAATATCTAATTTATTAGTAATATTAACTTTGATGCCACAAACGTTTTTTTGCATATCAAGATTAATAAAGAACCTCATCACATTTATTGCAAAAAAGAAAGAAAAGACAAAGGCTT